AGATAAATAGTTTTTTAAAAAAAAAAGATGAAAAGGTCCCTTTCTCCTTTAAGCTATTTTTTTGCAAAATATTTATCATAACAACAGAAATGAAATTAGAACACATTTTGACTGTCTTTTTTAAACTTTTTTTTCCTTTTGAGACAAGGTCTTGCTATGTAGCCCAGTTCCATCTGGAGTATGGATACTGCCTTGGAGATCCTGCCTCCAGAATGCTAGGATTGTAGGGGTGGGCCACCATGCCTGGCTTCAAATGTTTTTTGTTTGATTTTTCTTATGCTTGTTTGAATGTCATTCTATGGTATGCTACTTTCTTTGAGAAAGAGCCTCTTGCTCGAGGCTAGGTTGACCAGCAAGCCTCAGAAAAGCATTTACTGCCATGTCTGACTTTTGGTGTTTTGTCATGGGTGTTGGGTCCCTAGAAACTGGAGTTACAGACAGCTGTGAGTGCTATGCGGGTGTTGGGAATTGAACTCAGGTTGTCTGAAAGAGCAGTCAGTGCTCTTAACCACTGAGCCATCTCTTCAGCCCCCCTATCTAGTTTTTTATGTAAGTTTTGGGAATTGAACTCAGGTCCTTGTGTTTGCAAAGAGGGCACTTTATGAACTTAGTCATTTGTTGTGTTTCTTCCTTTTCTCTTCGGTGACTCTGGTCCACACATGCACTGATGCTCATTACACAGACATCTCCAGCCAGGCTGCTGACTCCAGTCTCCCAGACCACATCTCTACCGGGTCAGAACAAGAGGAGGAAAGGACAACAGGCAGACCAGCCCTAACTGAGAATGGTTTCTTCACTTTGTAAAGGATGGAGAAAGTATCAAGACGAATGATTTCCTCGTATCTGAAATGGCATGAAATTCAGCCAGATCTTTTGGCCCAAACCGTTACTACATCTACTTGGGAGGCTGAGGCAGAAGGATTGCAAGTTCAAGGCCAACCTGGGAAAGTTAGTGAGACTGCATAAAAATAAAAAGAAAGCCGAGGGTACAGCTAAGGGGTCGAATGCCTTCCTAGCATACATGTGGCCCTGGATTCAATCTATTAGGGGGAAAAGCCTAGGTGTGGTGGTTCAAGCCTGTGATCTCAGTACTGAGGCTGCTTGCTGAGGCAGGAGAACTGCTGTGAACTGAAGGCTAGCCTCAGCTGCATTGCATGGTCTTGTTGCAAAAGCAAAAATGATAAGCTAGGTATGGGGACTCATTCTATATAATCCCAGTCACTTAGGAGACAGAGACAAGGGGATCTTGTCTGGGTTGATGAAATGGCTCCCTGGGTAAAGGTGCTTGCTATCAAATCTGATGACCTGAGCTCCACCCTGGAACTCGCATGGTAGGAAGAGAATAGAAAATTAGCTGCTGTGGGTTATCTGCTGACTTCAACCAATGTGACCACGACATGAGTGTGTGTATGCCCCCCACAATATTAAATAAATATAACACAATACAAATAAAATTAAAAGATACTGTATTGACTTCCTATTTGAAAAAACAAAGTCCAACCTTGGCTACATAGCAAGTCAGAAATCAGCTTAGGCTACATGTGATCCTATCTCAAAACCCAAACCAAAACACAGAGAAAGAAGAGATGCAGGTGGAGGAAGGAGAAGAAGAAAAGAAGGAAGGGAGAGAAAGAGGGAAGGGGAGGAAAGGAAGAGCAAAGCAGAGGGCACGGAATTCAAATGCCGATGTCCACAAAGGATACTCAGCTCGATGGCGGTCACATTCGGGTGTAGAATGGATGTTTTCACTAGAAGTGGCAACACTGACCGTGTGCTCCACAAAGCCAGAAATAATTACCCCTCTGCATGCTGTAAGCCCTTCAGAGAATGCCGCCTCTCCCATCACTGGCATTATTTCTTAGCAAGCATTCTAAAGCTGACACGTTCATAACTGAGCCAGTGATATCCCTCCTTAATAATGAGAGAAATAGGAGAAAATAAAGGAATTTAAACAAAATGCCCTGCTCTTCCTTCTCATGAACAGATCCCCCATTGTCAAGTGGCTCTGACCAAAACTTCTTCATCACATGGGATTTCTCACCTGAGGTGATTTTTTTAAAATCCCCCAGGGAAGGTAGATAATGTATGGAGACAATTTACAATTTTGGTTGTCACAACTGTTGGGGGTGGGCGGGACTAGACGGAGAATAGAGAAGCAGATCAACATCCTACGATGCTCAGCTCAGCCCCCGCCACACAGAATTCTCAGTCCCAAAATGTCACCGGGGCGGAGGTTCAGAAGCCCCGCCTCCAAGACACCCCTCACCCGTCTCTCCATCTCAGATCCCACAGTTGCTCCATCAGCAATGCCTTCCCACGGGGAACTTTGTAATATACTATGAATTCAAACCACGGCTCCCACATTCTCCCTTCCCACCCTCCCCTGAGCCATTTCTCAACATAGCAGCAAGAGCCATCCATAGATCTTAAGCCAACTCCCGTGGCTTCTCTACTCCAGAGAATTCAGTGGCTCCCATCTCTAGGCAAAAGCTGGATCTTCTGTGGGATACATAAGAACCTGTGACGTCAAGAGCTTATTATTCCTCTGACCATACATTGCTCCCTCCCTACTGTCTGCCAGTCACACTGGCCTCCTGCTGGCGGCCAACACAGATTCATGATCACCTCAGACCCTTTGCAGCCATGATTTCCATAGCCCATGCATCCATGTGTCTTCAACCTCACGTCTTCAGGCCACCAACCAATGTCAACTCCTGTATGAAACACCTCCCATCCTTCTTGATTAACTCACATGCATAACCCTGATATGCCCCCTTTCTCCATTTCTGCTTTTTCTCTATTATTTCCATTAGTCTTTCTCTCTCCTTTCAGAACAGATGATGGTTAAAGTCAGAGATTTGTTTGGTTTTGTCCCCTATTGCTCTTGATTCAACAGGAGAACCTGGGGATCATGGAGATAGGTGGTTGACAACCTATATTCAGTTCCATGAATTTACATGGTGGAAGGAGAGAAATGACTCCCACTAGCTCTCCTCTGATCTCTACCTACAAACCAAGACACACATTCAAACCATACTGACACACATACAAAATTAAAAGGTACAGGATCTGCTACACAGTTTAAAGTCGATTTAAAAAATAAAAGATGAATGGATAAACATACAGATAAATGAGTGAGTGAATGGATGGATGAATGAATGGATGGCATACATTTCAAGGAGGGTTCCAGTGCAAATTCCCATATATGGCTCTGTACTTCAGCCCTGGTGAGGCCGAAGAGTGGACATTAGTGATATGTCCCATAGGGTGGGGGTATCAGAGAAGAGGAGGGACATGGATGACAGTGAGCAAAGGTGACTATGACATCTGATTGACTCCATAGCCAGATCTAAGAAAGTGTTTGCTACTCAAATGGGGCCAGTAGGGGTCAGTTCTGAACACCAGATCTTCTGTGATAGCTCGCCGGAAGCCAGAGGTCAGATCTTTAGGGAGCAGTCTCCCTGCTTTGAAACGCTGGTGACTGACTTTGGTTCCCAGTATGAAACATTCCACGGACTCATCTTCAAAGCCCACCCATTCTTCACTTGAGGTGAGTTATTTGACAGGACAGAGGAATCGGGGCAATAGAAAAAATAAGACAGACAAAAGAGTAAAATGTAAAAATTTCAGCTATTGGTGGTAAGGGAGGAACTTCGAGGTTGCAGGTCCACTCCTTAGTGCCACAGATGAGGGCGAGAAGGTTCAGAAAGGTGGAAGGATAGGGGTCACATAGTAAGGCACCCAGAGTCTTGCTTCACAGCTTCTATATGCATGACAGATATGCAGGAAATTTGCATGAAAGAATTACTAACATGGAGGATGGGCTAGAGAAGGACTGAAGAGAAAGACAGCAGGTGTCCTGGACAAGAAGGGTTCGACAAGGAGACAGGTTTGAGCCTGAAAGCAGCACCCCAAAACAGAAAATACTTGGAGGGAGAGTGGCGAAACAAGGGGTCAGAGAAGAGGAAGCATCCCAGGAGTCTGCTAGGAAGGCATGAGGCTGTGGAGATGAAGCAGAACTATCCAAATAAGAACTAGAAAGATCAGCATGTGAGCTTGGGAGAAGTTCTGATGGGGAAAGGAGCTAAGCACGGCAGGTGAAAAGAAGACGGCCTCCAGCAGGGAGAGAGAGCAAGAGAGACCAGAGGAGATCAGAAAGCACAGCTTTGTTTCAATTCTGGGAACCAACAGAGCCAATAGGAGAGGAAAGATGTGAGGAACGGACGAGAATGGGCAGGGCAGATGAAACAGCCTGTGTGTGAAGCTGCTTGCTGCCGAGTGGAACAGCCTGAGTCCCATTCCTGGGACCCACACAGTGGAAGGAGATTATCAATCAACTTCTTCAAGTTGTCTTTGCCTTCCACATTCACACTGGAACTAGCATGCACTAGATAGATACATAGATAGATGAATAGATAGATAGATAGATAGATAGATAGATAGATAGATAGATAGGATAAAAAAATTTTTAAGGGGGCTGAAGAAATGGCTCAGCAGTGAAGAGTACTCCCTGCTTTCCCAAAAGATCAGAGTCCAGATCCCAGCACCCATATTGCACAGCTTACAACGTTTTAATAACTAACTCCAGGGGATCAGAGGCTCTGTTTAGGCTTGTATGGGTACTTGAACACATGCACGTGTGCAAAACACTGACACACACAAATACATGGATGGTAATTCCACACGGCTCACAACCATCTGTAATTCCAGTTCCAGAGGATCCAACACACTCTTCCCGACCTCAAAGATCACGGAGCATGCCCGTGGTACATAGTCGAACCTACAGGCGAAGCATCCATCCACATCATCAAATAAAATAAGAGAAGCACAGAAGAAGGGTTGGGAGGTAGGGCAGAGGAATGCGTGGAATCATAGAGGCTCCAGCAGGGAAGCACACCCCTGGAGACCTTGAGATGGAGATTCAGAACACATTAGCCGTCAATTTGCTGGAGGCACAGGCTTCAGTGGAGGTGGCCAGCCAGGGCCTTCCTGCACCCTACCTTCCAGGCAGCATATCCGCCAGAGGCCTGAGTGTGTAAGGCCCCCAGGGTCCTTCTTCTCCGAGGAGCCGCTGCCCCCACGGTGGGGTGGTCCATCATCACCTGCCGTGAGGTTGGTGGTGTTGCAGATGAGAGCTCGTGTGTAGAGCCAGTAGTCAGTGCTGATGGCGATGGTCATGAGTCCAAAGGCCGCAAACGCGCCTACGGTGGTCAGCAGTACCTGAACGCCCTTTTCGCACCACAAACCCCTCTCTTCATTCCAACGTTTCAATGACTCCAGTTTGACCACAGGTAGCCGGGGGGCCGTGGGCCACCACCGGGGCAGCGGAGGTGGGGCCGTGCCGGCGGCTGGGGGGGATCACAACACAGGCAGAAGCGGGGGCCTCGAGAGGCCAGAGGGGATGGGGACAGCGAGCAGGTGGCTGCAGAGGCGGAGGTCAGAGTGAAGCCATGGTCTCCAGCTGGTGGAGGCAAGAGAGAGAGTTAGTTCTGTTGAGACGGTTTCTTTTTGCCAAAACTGTTCTCCTGCTAATTGCTAATTTCTTTTTCTAACTTTCTTTTTTGTTTTTTTGTGCATTTTTTTTGTTTTGTTTTCTTTTTTTTCTGGTTTTTCAAGACGGGGTTTCTCTGTGTAGCTTTGGACCCTGTCCTAGAACTTGCTCTGTAGACTAGGTTGGCCTTGAACTCACAGAGATCTGCCTGCCTGCCTCTGCCTCCCTGGGTGCTGGGATTAAAGGCCTGTGCTACCACCACCCGACCTTTCCTGCTAATTTCTATTGAAAGATTGTACTTCATCAGCCTTAATCAGCCCATATACTCAGAGGTCATGACCCAGTCCCCTTGATTCCTCTCCTGTGATCCCCACCGTCCTCTTATGAACCCAACCCTTGATTCAAACTCCACTGTTAGCTCCTCCTAAGGAGGTCCCTGCCTCTCTCATCGCTTAATTCCCCTGACCCCCATTACCAGCCTTCCCACATATAGTAACATACATAAACACACACACGCACGCACGCACACACGCACACACACTGTAGGGCACTGCTGAGGAAAAGCCTGTTCATACTTCTCCAATTTTGCCTCTGGCATCTCTCCAATTTAGGAGCCACACTCTCGGGTGCAGATGTAACTGGTAGGTGTTGGCCTAACCCGCTTAAAGCCCTGGGTGCGATTGCAACCACAATATCAACGGGACATGGTGGCATATGCATGTAATCCCAGCACTCGGGAGATAGAGGCAGGAGGACGTCCTTGGCTACATTGCAAGTTGGGGGCTACTTGAGACTCCCATCTAAAGAAAAACAAACAAAAATTGCCCATTAATTCTATGGTTTGGTTTGGTTTTTCCCCTCCTTGACAGAATGCCTCCCTCCCTGTTTTTGTCACTCAATGACACCTTGAGTGTCTCCTATAATTTCCTCAACTCAAGAAAAATAAATCCCTCATTCTCTTCTTAGCTTAAAACAAGCCTTCCCAAGAGACCCTCACTATTCATAGACGTGCAGTATCTGCTCAGTGGCCCTAAGGCTTCCTCAGGCTTCCTCGGTTTCCTCTCTATAGGCCCTTGAGTCTCAGGACTGGCCTTACCACCTTGGATACATCTTTGAAGTACCAGAAGATTAAATAAAAATTCTGATACTGGACTCCTACCTGAGAAATTCCAAGTTAATGGGTCTGAAATGTAGTCAACACCTAGGGTTTTCCAAAAGCTCCCTGGAGAATTTCCAGATCCCCTAAGCTTGGAAGACTATGCCCCCAATCTCTACCACTCGGACTCTCGCAGCTCCTCCTGTCTCTTGGGGGTCGTTCATCCATCTCCCTTCCAACCCCAGAGGCTTGCTATGTTTTGGACTCAAAGAAAACTCCACCTCTGTCTTGCTTTCCAGTATTTGGAACCTGGTCTCTGCTCTCCCTACAACTCACACAAACTCATCTTTCCCCTTGCTTTCTCCTCCATTAAGAAAAATTTGCTCTGTGAGCTTCACAAGGTTTCCTACTCACAGCCATTGCTTCCTCCAGACCCCAATTCCCTCCCATTCAGAACTGTTCTAATATTTAACCTGTGCAAAAATACAATCGCCTTCCCCTGTTCTGCCCAGCATGCCTTGGCTCTTGCCTTCAGCAGAGACATCTCGCTACAGCCTCAGTAATCAACCCTGCAAGGGATCCCCCAATTCTAGATCTTCCCAGGTGACTCTGAACCCCACACTCTAACAGATTAGAACTTGTCATCCCCAACTTTTGTTTTAACATCATAGAGAATCCTCTTCCCTTTTGCCTATTTTTTCCACACACCACAGCTTTCAGCATCTGTTTCACGGAGGAAAATCCCCTCCTCAGGCCTCACAGACTTCTCTGGAATATCCCCAGTCCTTCCCCACAACAGTCTCACCTGTGCAGGAACTTAGCCCCCATCATCTCCAAAAAAAGAAACACACACACACACACACACACACACACACACACAAAGAAAGCAAGCAAGCTACGAAACTACAACTCCCAGTTCCAGACAGTTTGCTCCCTGTCCATTCATTTCTACCTTCTATGAGATCCCCACCGCTGTGCTTCTTCCTGGCTGTGTTGCCTTCACCTGTTTCAACCTCTTCCCTGACTTCTTTCCCAAATCCCAGTGAAGAAGGAGTCTGGAAGCTCCGAGGATGAGAGGCACCAACTAGAAACCCCAGGTCCCAGTACAGGGTGACCTTGGCCTCCCAGTTTCCTCTCTAGCTCGACCGCCCCCACCAGCTGGCCCTGGACTGGGTCTGCTCCCAGGAGGGGCTGTAGAGAAAGGTTGTCTATGGGGGGTGTCTCCATGGCAACGGGCCTAGTGCCCCACACGTGTGTTCCTGCCTACACACACACACACACACACACACACACACACACACACCACAGCCCCTTCCTGGGCCCATTCCCAGCTTTCCCATTTTTCCAGGTTGGTCCCTGACCCAGACGGAGTTTCCCTCTTCCTGCCTCTGGACATGCCTGTGCCCCTCACCACTACCACAGCAGCCACCTCCACTGTCTTAACAAATTGCTGCTTCTACGGACATGAGCTCTAACCCCAACATGTACCTTATTCCCAAGCCTCGTGGGCCCTACAGCCGGGATGGGGGAAAAGGGACTAGGAGGGACTTTCTCCATCCTTAAAGATTTTAAGAGCTTTTCATTTTTGTCAATTTGAGAGACAATCTGGCTTTGGGGACTCTTCATTGAGTCTATCTGCAACGGAGAAAGGAATAGGGGACCCCCCAATTATAAAGCTTCTGGATAAAATGGGGGGTCATAGTCCTTCGTTTGAGAGACTAGGTGTTTTTCCTCCCAGAATTAGGGGGTTCATGGAACCTTAAATCTACACCCACCCACCTCCGATTAATAAAAAGATCTCTCACCTCAGTTAACGGTAGATCAACTCTCCGATGCACTGGGGAGGGACGTCCAGCCCCTGCTGCCAGCACACCCCCCAGAAACACCTCTGGACTCCCAATTCTCGCTGCTTCCCCCTCCCCCAGCAGCAAGGGACCCAGGCGTCCGACCTGGTTGAGGGAATGGAGATGAGGAGGCGTATGAAGAATGGGGGTGTAGAGTGAGGGGGAGGGGAGCTGGGGGTAGCTCGGAGCTTGGGCCGTCAGGATGAGAGGGTCGGGCTTTAAAAAAAAAAAAAAGGTGAGGAGACAATTTGGTTCTCGTGTCGCTGGGTAAAGTGCGGAGCTGGATGAGAGAAGGAGGGAGGAGGGAGGGAGGGGGAGGGGAGCTGCTGAAGGATGGGGGAGCCTCGGAGAGGAGAGGGATTGGGGGGAAGGGAAGTGGTTGGGGAGCGGGGTCTGAGTGGCAGGAGGAAGCTGATGAAGAAGAGCGATAGATTCAGAGAGGGAGGGAGACAGAAAGAGACAAGGAGAATCGGAAAGAGAGAGAGAGAGAGAGAGAGAGAGAGAGAGAGAGAGAGAGAGACTCAGAGACTGGGAACAGAGGTGGGGGAGGGAAGAATTTGGGGGAGGCAGTGACTGGTAGCAGAAGGAAGTTGAGGAGACACACACAGAGAGAAATATCCAGAGAGAGAAGGGGACAGAAGCAGGAAGAGATGCAAAGAGAGAACAGCAAGAGATGAGGGAGAAATATAAGGGTAGGGAAAGGCTGAAAGGAGAGGGGGTCGGGGTCTGGGTAACAGAAGGGAATAGGAGTAAGAGAGAGTCCATCCAGAGAAGAGGGAGGAGAGACAGATGGGAAGAGAGAGACTGAGAGGATGGAAAGGAAAAGAAATAGAGGAATGGGAGAGATAGAAATTGGGGATGGGGGCAAGGAAGAGAGTGAGGGAGAGACACAGAGAGATACAGAGAGAGACAGCAAGACAGAGAGAGACAGAGAGACAGAGAGACGGATTATGGGAAAGGGGACCAGCTCAGATGCACTGAGGAAGGCCGAGATAGAGGGCACCTCTGCCCTCTCCCACCCGCACCCCCATCCCCCTGATCCCTACCCCCACCCCCATTTCAAAGCCATCACCCCCACCCCCACTAGCCTCCATCTCTTCAGCATGGCTTGCCGCCGCCACCGCCTCTTCCTGTTGTCATAGCAACAGGATCCAGGCGCCCAGCCAAGGTTGGCAGCGGCGGCCGGAAATGAGGGGAGGGCCTTTTTAAAAAGACCCCAGGAATGCTCTCCCCTCTTTCTCCCCAAAAAATGAAGGGAAAGCTCAACTTCTCAGGGTCCTTTTTTTCTCTTTCCCCAAGTAACGGGGCCAAAGATTTCTTCTAAATGAACCATAATTCATTTACAAGCATAGCAAGCATTTTGAGTTTTACCAACAATTTTCTTTTTCTTGGTACCCTCTGCTCCTACCGTAGTTTAACCCTGATGGAAAAGGAGGATGCTGTTCGGTTCCCATCGAGACCAGAATCAGGTTGAGTAGCAAAGAGGAGAACTAAAGGTATCCAGGACCGGGCTGGAGAGCTAGGCAACAGTTGCGAACATAGCTGTCACTTCTAGAACTATAACCAGTGAGTATGGGTTGGGCCAATTTGAGGCAGAAAATTGATGATTGTAACTTTGGTCTTGGTCTGAATTTCAGAGATGGCCCTTTGCTTCTGGGTGACCTTGGACCAAACATTTCCTGTCCTAAACTCAGCCAATCTAGGGACCAAAGTTATCTTCAGATAAAATGAGAATAACTTGAAAAGTCACTTTACACATTTTTTTAAAGAACGGTGCAAATTGAGCCAGATGTGGTGGTGCACATCTGGGATCCCAGGGAGGTAGAGACAGGAGGATCAGGAGTTCAAGGTTGTCCTTTGCAACACAGGGAGTTTGAGGTCAGCCTGAGCTACATGGTGGAGGTGAACCACAAAAATCTTAAGAACTAGCCAAGGGTTGTCTCTGTCTTGGGCTAGGCAGCTTATGGCTTACTTTATCTCATGGAATTCTTATAAAATCGTTGCTGAGTGGGCAAGCTAAGACTCTGAGATATGAGGCATTCATTCAAAATCACCCAGGGGTTGCAGGCAGAGCTTGGTTGAAGAAGAATCTTTGTGGCGAGAGACCAGCAATGGGTAAGTTTCAGAAACTTTTTTTTTTTTAGTGTGTGAGTATGTCTGTGTGTGGTGTGCATGTGAGTGAGAGTGAGGAAGGGTGTGTGCCGTGGCATGCGTGTGAAGGTCAGGAGACAACTTGCAAGGTTGACTCTCATTTGATATGGCAGCGGGGGTCCTGGAGGTGGAACTAAGTTAGTCAGGTTTGCATGGCAGATGCTTAGATGGGCCGAGCCATCTCGCTGACTCTGAGTCATTTAATCATACCTTTGCCCCGCATTTCTCTATCTTGGGGGCTAAGGGAGGACAATCTATGTTCCTCTCTCCATCATTTACCTGATTTTGTATCTCTGGGTACTCAGTTTCTCAAAAAATTCCACTAGTTTTCCGTTCTCTTAGTTCTCCTGTTTCTGCTTTGTTGTTTCTCTTCAGGTTTTTGTTTTTGTTTTTTTTTTTTGAGACAGTGTCTCAGTTTGTAGGTCAGGCTGGCCTGGGACTCATCCTATAGCTCAGACTCGGCTCAAACTCAAGACAATCCTCCTGTCTCAGTTTTGGCAAGTATGCATCAGGACACCAACTTTCCTTGGTATTGCTTTATCTCAGTTCGTTTCATTCCCACCATGCCCCCTGAGAGTCTGGAGTTTGGAAAAGCATCCTAATACCTCTGGTTTAGAAGCAAATAAAAATAACCTGGAAGGGAAGGAAGGGACCTGGAATCCACTTGTCAGTTCTGGGTGTATTTTTTCATCATCTTTTGCCAGGGAGAGGAATAGAACAGACACAACAATGACAATCGATATAAACTGAACGTTTAATTTGAAGACTCAGTACCTTACAGGCATTGGCTCAATATTTTCGAGAAACAATTGAGAGGTTAGCCCCCATTCTGTTTTGTTTTATTATTTGTTTGTTGTGTATATGTATATGCGTGCATTCATTTTTACATGTGTGTGTGTGCGTGCGTGCGTGTGTGTGTGTGTGTAGAACAGAGGTCAGTGTTGGATACCTTCCTCAATTGCTCCTATCATCCCATCATATTTTTTGAGACAGGGTCTGTCACAGGCCTGGAGTTTGAGGATTCTGTTAGACTAGCTGGCCAGCAGACCCCAGGCATCTTCCTGTCTCCTCCCCTCTAGAACTGAAATTATAGGTATACTTTGCCACACTTTGATGTTTACATAGGTGCTAGGAATCTGAACTCCGGTCATCATGCTTTTGCTGCAAGCTTTTCCCTGGCTGAGCCACCCCTACAGTTTCTAGTTATTTGTATGTTTTGTTTTATTTTTTAAAAGACAAGTTCTCATATGTCCCAGACTGGCCAGAAATTCACTCTGCAGCCAAAGATGACCTTGAATTTCTTGTCTCTATCTCCTGAATTTTGGGATTTGGGGTGTGCAACACCATACCTAGTTTTTAATTGCTCAATTCATTACATTTTATTTTCTGTGTGATTTTGGGTGGTGAGAGGAATATGCATGACATAGTATTTATGTGCACACCAGATGATAGCCAATGGGCGTTGGTTCTCTCCACCAGTAAATTCCAGCAATTGAACTCAGATCATCAGGCCTGATGGCAAGCACCTATTACCTGATGAGCCACACAGTCCGTCCTTATTTATTTATTTATTTATTTAGAAAAGGTCTTATTGTGTAGACCAGATAGGCTTTAAACTTACATCAGCCTTCTTTGCTGGGTCTCCTAAGTGCTGAGATTACAAGTATGTATCACCATATCTAGCTTAGATCCCATTTTATAGAAGTAAAAACTGAAGGTAAGAAAGAGAAGCATTCCATTACGTTTGGATGTAATGTCAGCTGACTTCAAATTTGGTTATCAGACAATGAATAAAGCCAAAGTTTCCTAGCTTTGGTGTGAATGGTAGCCAGATCAGGCACTGCTTCGTCATGGGGTGAATTTTACATTGGGGGCGACTGAGCACCAGCCCTTGCTAGCACCCACTAAAAGCTAGGATCAGTACCCTCTCTCTAGTTGTGACAACCAAAGTCTTCAGAACTGTCCCAAGACCCTTGAGAGACAAAAATCATCCACAGCTGAGATATACTAACATGAAATAATTAGCCACTGGGAACTAATTGCCAACTTTATTTTTATTTTAAATTAAAATCAATTTCCTAAATGAATCAATATTGCTAGTAACTACTTTTTACAGAAAAGAACTAAATAGTTCATGAGGGATTTTAAGAAAAACAATTCAGCCAATTGTGTCCCA